CAAAATGTGGGAAACCCTGTCTTTGTTGTCCCCACAACAGGTGTCCCTATTGTAAGATTTCCCTTTTATTCCTCTTTCCTGTGACAATTATACATTTGTTGCCATTTTGTCTTGGTAACAATGGTCATCAATATAAATAGCGTTTGAATCTCCCCTTAGTGGAGACATAGCAACAATAAAAACCAGACAGGGGTTTAAAATAATATTCTATCTAAACACAAAACAAATATGTATATATTTTTTTTAATATCTAAAAAGGGAATTCAAGTGCTACACCAACCTGACGAAGTGCACGGTCACGTGTGTGAAACGCGTTGATGTAGGCAGCGTAAGCGAGATCCTGAGCCACACCTACGGGAATGGGCGCGTGCTAATCCACCTCATGCCGCTCTGAGTGGGGAGGTAAAGGTGCACACCGCCTCAGTTACACTATCGGGAATACCACTGTGAGCTGCTGCCAATAGTATTACCTACATGCGGTCAATCTTTCCAGCCTGGTTCGTCCGTTTGGAAGACATGGATGATCCGAATATCCAGATGTACGCCAAGTCGTCACAATCTAACTACGTGAAGTCTGCTACGCTGACACCATATTCTTACAATTACCCTGGAGTGGTGAGAGCCTGAGGGCACAATTGTTTCAGCGGCAATGGCCGTATCAACAATTTATTGAGCACTTCTCTACATACAATCCGATCTTTCACTTTGACATATAGTGACCCAGTAATGGTCAATGCTGATTTTGGACACTATTTTGTTGTAACAGTGATTAAACTGGACTGAGTTTACGATACTGGATCACATATCCTTCAACTCTTTAATATTAGGCTATCTAAGCCTTTATATCCCAATTGGAATTTTATGAGATCAATATATCTAGGAATGAACAGGTCTCATCATCTTGGAGTTATTAATCAACGTTTACAATTTTCTGTGACTGCCATTCCCTATAGGTAAAATTAATTTGTCAACCTATACAGTAATTACTGTGAGGTGTCATAGTAATGTGATTATTATTAACAATTTTTGTGACTGCCATTTCATATGGGAGGTAAACTGTTAACCTGCTGGTTTATATTGGGTAAACTCAATGAGTTAAATTACCCCAATTTTTTGTTCATTTACAAGTGTCCTTGATCCATGGTGGACCTTGTCCTTGTTGGAGAGTGGTTTCTTCAGAGTCTTGGATTTTGATACACTGACCAGAGTGGCTAGTTCACTATGCAAGATTCTGACCTATTGACCCCCATATTATGCTCACATAAGACGCAAGGTAGTAGTACATTTTGAGTAAGTGTGGCCCGGGCCATTTTAAAGTGATAACGTTATCCATTTTATTGATGTGAATGGAGGATCCTTTGACTTAATAGGTCTATTACCAAATTTTTGTGAAGTATAATAAAGCTATTGGTTTTATTTACACCGCTGTTGTTCTCTTTTAAACTACTGTTTTCTGAGGGTATTCTATGCCCTCTATTGTTTTTCTACTCCAACCAAAACCTGTTTTTCTTTTGGATACAGTGGGAAGGGTTGGAACCTTTGTCAAGTTATTTTTTTTTTTACTGTCTGGGACCCCATCAGGGGGATTTCCCTTTGCTTCCTATTAATAGTGACACAACAGGAAGTAAAAGGAAAATTCTCCAAAATGAGGGGGGAGCTGCCCAAATAGAGACTTTAGAAATAAAAAGGAAAAGGGAAGCTGCTTTATTTTCAATTACTTATTTAATAAGATATTTCTTCACATAGAGGGGCAGGCACTATTTTATTACGCTGCACAATACAGAGATCGGGGGGGGGGGGGGCTAAGATGAACCAGGAGTGGTGGACAGGAGGCAACAGGAGTAGATGCAGAGGAAGGGAAGGGGAACATTGGGGAGGATGATTGTCCAGATTAAACCTACTCAACGAACATAATGTGATTATCACTTTAATACCTGAGAATGGGATATGCCTGGCCCTTCCTAAATAAAGGGCTGGGACTATCCATAATTATTTCTCTAATTTGGTTGGCATAGATCTGCAGTGCACACATTATTATTATACAGGATTTATATAGCGCCAACAGTTTGCACAGCACTTTACACACATAGTAAAAGGCTTTCAGAGAAAAAGGAACAAAATGCCCAATGTTTGTATGGATTGTTCAAAATATCAGAAACTCTGTCAGGAGATTTACTAAAGCTGGTTCACACAGAACCTTGTGCACCTGTACATGGAAGCCAAACAGCTTCTAACCTCAGATTGTTCAATTAAGCTTTAGCCATAAAACCTGGAAGCTGATTGGTTTCCATGCAGAAGTGCACGAGATTCTGAGTGAACCAGCTTTTGTAAATAAACACCCGGTGTGTGTGTTAACCATCATTTCTGATACCAAGAACGGTTTACTCTCACATTGTTGGTAACCAAAACATTGTCAGAATTATGATTATGCGTATTATTCGATTTTGCTGCAGCCAGTTACAGGTGTGAGCATGTTTTATGGACAGGTCAGTTCAAAGTATCATTATGCTGGCAGTATACAGCAATTGTCAACCACATCCAATCAACTTTTGATTGCAAAAATGACTAAACGAATGTACCCTACCACCAAGAGTTACTATTAACACACTGTGGGGTTGATTTACTTAATTACATCATTTTTGCTTAGATTAGTGAATGCTGGTTGGCATAAATAAAGGCTTATGGAAATCATGATTTAATAATGTTGTTTCTCCCCTCCTCATACTTATGCTACATTATGTTTTATAAGTGGAAATACCTTTTTTTTTTTTTAATAAGCCTTGATGTGGTCACATGATTGAAAAGTTCAGCTCACCTGTGCCACGGAGTGTTCATCAACGGGGCTGCATTCACTGAGCCCAGACGTCGCCTGCTGCTACCATTGCCCTCCACCCCCTTATCATTGCTCCTTCTCATCTTCTGCAGTGTCCGCTCGCTCACATGGGGGGAGACACAGCTTCTTGATTACGTGACTGCACCGAAGCTGATTAAAAAATTACATAAAGTATTTCCACTCTTTTACAGCATAGGTATGAGTAGAGGGGAGGAACGTGTTTTAGCAGACCTATTATAGCCTTTACTTCCAATTTAATTTATGAGAGTGTCATATATATTTTTCTCCTACAGCATGGTTTCCCAACCAGGGTTCCTCCAGAGGTTTCTAGGGATTCCTTACGCAATGAGCAGTTTCTGCCTCTCAGATAAGTTCCCACTGACACCATTGATCTCTTTCGCTATCTGTAAGGAGGTAATTCTTCCCACTGACCACAAGTTTAACCGCTTACCGACCGCCCTATAGCAGAAATACTGCTACAGGGCGGCAGTGGTGTGCAAAATCACACACACATATATATACAGTTGTGTTCAAAATAATAGCAGTGTGTTGAAAAAAGTGAATAAAGCTCAAAATCCTTCTAATAGCTTTTATTTCCATACACACAAATACATTGGGAACACTACATATTCTATTCCAAATCAAAACATGAAGAAAAATATATCAAATTTGTGTTGTTCCTCTAAAAAAAAAATTGAAGAAAAGTGAATATTAGACTGTTCAAAAAAATAGCAGTGTTTGTATTCTTCTTTACAAACTCAAATATTCACTATATAAACTGAAAAATGTTTGAAGATTTTGCTTTCCTTTGAATCACTTAATGAATATTTAGTTGTATAAGCACTGTTTCTGAGAACTGCTGTACATCTGTGTTGCATGGAGTCAACCAACTTCTGGCACCTGTGAACAGGTATTCCAGCCCAGGATGAATGGACTACATTCCACAGTTCTTCTCTATTTCTCGGTTTTGCCTCAGAAACTGCATTTTTCATGTCACCCCACAAGTTTTCTATTGGATTAAAATCTGGGTATTGGGCAGGCCACTCCATAACGTCAATCTTGTTGGTCTGGAACCAAGATGTTGCACGTTTACTGGTGTGTTGGGGTTGTTGTCTTGTTGGAACACCCATTTCAAGGGCATTTCCTCTTCAGCATAAGGCAGCATGACCTCTTCAAGTATTCTGATGTATTCAAACTGATCCATGATCCCTGGTATGCGATAAATAGGCCCAACACCGTAGTATGAGAAACATCCCCATACCATGATGCTTGCGCAACCATGCTTCACTGTCTTCACAGTGTACTGTGGCTTGAATTCAGTGTTTGGGGGTCGTCTGACAAACTGTCTCCGGCCACTAGACCCAAAAAGAATAATCTTACTTTCATCAGTCCACAATATGTTGCGCCATTTCTCTTTAGGCCAGTCAATGTGCTCTTTGGCAAATTGTAACCTCTTCAGGATGTCTTTTTTTCAACAGTGGGACTTTGCGGGGACTTCTTGCAGATAGCTTGGCTTCACATAGGCGTCTTCTAATTGTAACAACTCACAGGTAACTTTAGACCTTCTTTGATCTTCCTGGAGCTGATTGTTGGCTGCATCCTTGCCATTTTGGCTATTCTTCTATCCATTCGAATGCTAGTTTTTCGCTTTCTTTCACGTCTTTCAGGTTTTGGTTGTCATTTTAGAGCATTTGCGATCATTTTAGCTGAGCAGCCTATCATTTTCTGCACTTCGTTATATGTTTTCCCCTCTCCAATCAACTTTTTAATCAAGGTACGCTGTTCTTCTGAACAATGTCTGGAACGACCCATTTTCCTCAGAATTTCAGAGAGAAATGCACTGTAACCAGCATGTACAACATTTGCTGTCTTCCTTCCTTAAATAAGGGCAATAATTGCCACCTGTTTTTCAAAGAATGAATGACCTCACTAATAGAACTCCACACTGCTATTATTTTGAACATGCCCCTTTCAATTAGTGATTCAATTACACAGAATCAGCAGCTTGCATGTCATGACTGTTGGGTCTGTTGGATTTCTATTACTCTACTACACCTGCTAGTAAATTATTTGCCATGTAGAAATATCATTTCTACCAAAAACAGTGATTGATCAGGTTAGTGATGTCTTACTGCTATTATTTTGAACACAACTGTATATATATGTGTGATTTTGCATTTCCAGGTAGGGGGCATGCGCCGCCATTTGCGGCCGTCAATCACTGGGTCCCAGCCGGTAATTACTCACCAGCACTTGGTGATTTCCAAGGATCTCCGATGGGGAGGAGGACTGTTTTGATTACCAATAGTCCTCCTCCCAGTCAGCTCAGGCACACAGCTGTGGATGGCTGTACACAGGACAGCCATCCACAGCAGTGTGATTACAGTGAACCACACACATCCTGCCCCCTAGTAAAACACTCCCAGCACACAGTTAACCCTCTGATTGCCCCCATGTTAACCCCTTCCTGCCCAGTGCCATTAGTACAGTGTCAGTGCTTTTTTTTAGCACTGATCACTGTATTGGTGCCACTGGGGATGTCAGTGACACCAAGTCAGTTCCCCCAGTTTCAGAATGTCCACCGCAGTCCCGCTATAAGTCGCTGATCACCGCCATTACTAGTAAAAATGAAAACAAAAATCCCAGTATATATACCGCCATTCGTAAACGCTATAACGTTCATGCAAACCAATTAATTTACATGAATTGGGATTTTTTTTAAGCAAAGACATGTAGCATAATACATTTTGGCATAAATTTATGACGAAATTTGATTTTTTAAATTTTTTTACTGGACACATTTAATTGTCGATCTTTTTGTTTTATAGCGCAAAAAAAAATAAATGCACAGGCGATCAAATACCACCGAAAGAAAGCTCAATTCATGGGAAAAAAACGACGTAAATTTAATTTGGGTGCAGCATTGCATGACCACGCAATTGTCAGCTAAAGTAACGCACCACCGTAACGCAAAAAATGGCATGGTCAGGAAGGGTGGGGGTAAATCCTCAGAAAGGCAAGTGGTTAAGGAGTGTTCTTCCCACGGACCATCACACTAATGTATCATGAGTTCAGGGCCAGTGCAAGGATTTTTGTCTACTCAGGCAAAGATGCATTTTACTGACCCCCCTCCCCACCATGCTCCCAACACCCCCTCCCCTCCATCTTCCCGCCATTCCCTCCCCTCCATCCTCTCGCCACCCACTCCCCTCCATACCGGTAGTGTATAATGAAGGGGTCCACTTGAGTCCTGGAGAAATTGTTTTAATTATTACATCTTTTTATGCCTTAAAACCCCAAAAATAATTTTATTTTTTTTTTAAAACAGACACCCTATAGAATAAAATGTTGGTAATTCACATTTTTTTTGTTATACAATATTAGCAAAACGGTTTATGAAAGGTAAAATTTCAGTAAAAATACACTAAAGTTAATTTCTGGGCACATAAATGCAATTTATTACATAATCTTATTGGTAAAATCTAAAAGATGAGGTTGTGCCGAGTAAATAGATACCCATATCAAACCTTAAAATTGCGTGCACCCGCAATGCTTTAAAAGCTCCTACAGGTCATCAGATTTACGCAGGAGCACTGGTGCTATAACTATTGCTCTCACTCTGGAGTATGGGCTGATATATAATGTGTAGGACATTCACCGTTTTCATACTTTTATTGCTATCACATAGGGAACCAATAGTCCCATGTGATAGCATATAGGTGACAGGTTTGTCTTTGTGAGACATCCAGGGTCTAATAAAGCCTGGATGTCTCTTCTCTACTTCCCTGCTGCTGATGGACCGCGGACCTTGTTCCATCAGCTGCTTCTCCCAGCACGGAGAATGACAGCTCTGGTCCAGGGAGTGAGGTCATACATGTCACTTCCTGGTCTTTGTGCAGGAGAGAGGCTGAGTGGATGGAGGTCTGCTGAGCTTCCGCCACCCTTCCCAGCAACACCTGCCATGACAGCACCAGGCCCACAGGTGAGACAGTGGAGCCCAGTAAATGTGGTGGTGGGGTCACGCTGGATGGGGGAAAGGTGGAACATCATGGTGGTGGTCGTGGAAGTAATAGGCAGCTTCACAGCTGCTTGTATCACTTCCACATGAAAGCCGACAATCGGCTTTAATAAAATACACACACTTCCAGCCGCTATAGCAGCCGGGAGTGTGTAAAAAAACCCACGTCTGCAGCACTGAAAAAAATCAGACTTTACTGCCCCACTGTCCTGGCACTCTAAGGCAGATGCAAGAGTTGTAGATATAGTAATTTTTAGCAGGGGTTCCCTGAGACCGGAGTCCTCTGTGTTGAAAAGGTTGAGAAAGGCTGTTCTAGAGGGATAACGACATTCAAACCAGCTTTAAAAAAAAAAAAAAGCATGTAAATTTAATTGACAATAAAAATATAAGCAGGTGTGACTGCAAATATATATTAGTGAGAGCAGAACAGTGGAGTTTGTAGTATGATTTACTAAAGAAGTAGGGCATGTTAACTCTGCAAGGAAATTTGCCCGTTTAGTGAATGTGGTGAAAATTCACTTTTCAAAGAATACCCAATCACATTCAAGGAAACCTAAAAAAAAAAAAAAAAAAAAAAAACAGTATTTTTGATTGCACATGATTGGATGATTGAAGTCAGCAAAGTCTCAGCGTATTCACTAACCTAATCGCAAATTCCCTTGCGAAGTGAAAACGGCATGAGTTTATGCCCCTGCTCAGTAATACATAAGATTGCTAGAATGTTTGGTATATTTCAAATTAATTACATGAAATGTTTAGAATGCAATGCATCATAGTGAGAGCATAATGTAAGTAATGCCGGTTGGTTTAATTTAAGAAATTTCCACGTATATTTTTCTTCTAGAGGGATAAAGAAATTCAAACCAGCTTTAGGAAAATGTGCGTGTAAATTTAATTGACTCTAAATTGGGTGTGACTGCAAATATATATTAGAGAGAGCAGAACACTGGAGTTTGTAGTCTTATATTTAAGCTATGAATTCCACAGCTCCCTTAAGCATACACATTAAATGTCTGTTTACAGTCCCTCCATATGGGGAATTGCAGAAATGCCTTACAATTAATCACAAAGGCTCTACAAATATGCCATGTTAAGGCTCTTTACAGCATGAATACACATTAGGGATTTAGGCAGTTTTGATACCTTGTCCCTAACCAAGCTATTTGTCCAATTAATGGTCCCTCCACCATGCCACAGGACAAGACATGTGTCTTTTAACACCATACACTAATGGCAATATCCCCCCAGAGAACAGAGGTAGTGGAACAAGTCAATATAACAATGAACTGTGATACATACAATAAATCTTACCATCCCAACCTACTGCTAATGTATGGAATGTTAAAGCTGAAATGCTAACAAGACACAGTAATTATGAAAAATAGATGATCCTATTTTATCCATGCTAGTTTCATCATACAATTTGTAAATATTTAAGTAAAAATTAAAAAGATATATATCATCACTATCAGAAATTATTCATATATGGTATCATCCTACTTGTTAACGGCTGTTCATAAAAAAAAAAAATGCAAACTCAGCATGCCAGAGAAAACCATAGACCAGAATGCTAAAAGGGCTGTGGTGCCAGCTGTTTTTGGTTCCCAATGAATGGGTCGTTAATCGAAAAGATTTTGCCCATATCACTCAAGTATAAGGCCTCCCTCAGTTGATCCTGTTTGCATCACCAACCTTTCACAAGGTGCCTCTCATGCTACCCTTACCCGTTGGTGGAGGAAGTGGACGCTCACTCAGCCAAGGAATAGTTGCCTAGCAAATGGCTTTCCTCTACTGCCTTTGGTCATGAAGTACTGCAATAAAGAACAAAAAAAAGTGCACCAACCTAGCGCATTACCTCAACGACAAGAATTTTATTGAAGGATAAAACAGATGTATACTCACAAACATCTCAGTTTTTTAACCTCCCTGGTGGTATTCTCGAGTGTAGCTCAGGGTAAAGTTTCAGTACCACAAGTGGTAACCCCGAGCTACACTCGGGCTTACCATGCGGCGCTGCTCCGGGATTCCTCGGTCACTTACCTTGTCCTGCGCTCCCGCGATGTCCCTCCTGCAGTGTCCCCAGCAATGTAATCCAGCGGATGCCAGCATCTGTCATCTGAGTTCCGTCCTCTGCGAGCGTCAGGACGTACGGGGGACGGAACGGTGGGAAATTTGAAAATGACAGAAAGTGACATTCACAAATATCACTAAAATCACATAGTTTTACCCTAGCCATGAAACTGGAGTCTGGACCAAGCACTTCAGCTACCAGTGTTTCCACAACACCTGGCCCAGGATGGATTGGAAATTTAGAGTGAAGGATTGAAGGATTAGGGCCATCCTCTTTCAGTGGTAAATCCTGCAGTGTTTCAGAAAGGATGCCAACAAATGCCATTTACTCTGAAGCCTGGAACAGGTTCATAGTCTCTGAAGTTGGGCAGGATTTTGATCCTAGCAACTCGGTGGTCGCCCAGTTGCTATAATTTCCTCACACAGATCTGGATTTGGGGCTCATCCTAGTTATGTAAGGGCTCAAATTTCAGCTGTTTCAACTTCACCAGAGAATATGCCAGGAGAGTGGTTCAGGAGGTTGGTCCTGAGACTTTGCCCTGAGGAGGAAAACGTTTCCCCTGCGGGATTTTATTCTGGCACTTGATTTCCTTGCCAGGACTCTGTTTGCACTAATAGAAAGGAGTCTTCAATAGGACATCACTCGAGAAGCAGTGTCCCTCAATAACTTCAGGGGGCAGAGTTTTGGACCTGCAAGCACTTCAAGCTACAGGGTCCTACATCTTCTTTCTTCTGAACAAGTTGGGGCCTATGCCCCTCAAGCACCTTTGTCCCCAGGAGGCTTCAGTTTTCATCTTACAAATGATTCCTTTCTGGCACAGATGGTACCTAACCTACACAAGCTGGATGTACCAGGTATCTAAGATGTCTACCTTCAAGTTGCTACCTAGTTTTAAATCCTCTGGGAGGCTGTTTGTGTTTCCATCAGGCAAATTCAGAGGAGGAAGCTGAAGAAAACTTTGTCATCTTGGAGTGTCAAGGTCATCCTGAAAACATAGTGCAGCCAGGCAAGAGCCTCCAGAAGTGGTAGAGGCTCATTCAGCCAGGTCCATCTCTACATTCGGGGCAGCGCATGCAAAGTGTCTATGAAGACTTTTGCAAAGCAGCAGGCTTGTTACCGCAGTGCACCTGCCTCAGGCGCTACAGGGAAGATCCAGGGGCTTATACGTCAATGGACTTCAACAGAATGGTAGTCTATGCTTCCGTGTTTATTGTAATGCAGTTTGATTATACAGTTTGGCCCTCCGTTTAGCTATTTATTTATCACATGTATGCTGCCATGTTGGCATCAGGAAAACGGAAAATTGTATCATACTTACCGTAATTTTCCTTTCCTGACGCCAATCCGTGGCAGTATATGATCTCCTCCCTTGTTTGATCTTGATTGTACAGAGAATGGGGGAGGTTGCTCTCAGTCAGACTTTTATAGATATACACAGGTCCTATGGGTGGATATAGGGGTGGATATAGGTCACATGTATGCTGCCATGGATTGGTGTCAGGAAAGGA